TGTGTGTAACTGTTTTGTCTGCACGTGTGTATCTGTGTGTAACTGTTCTGTTTGCACGTGTGTATCTGTGTATAACTGTTTTGTCTGCACGTGTACATCTGTGTGTAACTGTTTTGTCTGCACGTGTATGTGCATGCATGTAAGTGTTTTGTCTGCACGTGTGCATCTGTGTGTAACTGTTTTGTCTGCATGTGTTTATCTGTGTGTTTTGTCTGCACGTGTATGTGCACGTATGTCAGTGCGGTACCAGTGTTCTGAAGAGGACACCGAGACGTGTGGACTGGGTAAGCAGAGCTGCAGGCCACTGTGTAGAGGATGGGGAGGGAACTCGCCCTATGCAAATGAAGCCAGGGCTCTACCTCCTGAGCCAGCCACCTCTCCAGACCCTTAAAATAATTCTCATTCCTGAGAACGTAAGCTCCAGGAATTTTACCTACTCTTGTACCAGACGTCAAAGAGCCGGGCAGACAGGGTCCCGCCCACTGTCCTCACCTGGAGCCCATCTGACACAGGGACTGGTAGGACGAGGCCGGCATGTACACAATAGCTGAGTTATAGCACAGCATGAGGAAGCTCAGGACCTCGAACCTAGAAAAACAACAACAGAAAACCACACTTATTTCGATCAGCAACAATAGTAAATGATTTACTTACTAAATGGTTTTAACATGCCTTAATGTACATCTTCATGATTTCTTCCTAATCAGGTTACTACAGGAACCTCCTCTACAGCTGTTTTTATTCTTATTATGAAGCATAGCCCTTGCTGTCATCAATATTTTCTTTTTTCTTTAGTTTCTTTTTAAATTTATTTACTTGGTTTTTTTTTTTTTTTTTTTTTTGTACATTGGTATTTTGCCTGCATGTATGTCTGTGTGAAGGTATCAGGTTCCCCGGAACAGGAGTTACAGACAGATGTGAGTTGCCATGCGTGTACTGGGAATTGAACCCCAGTCCTCTGGAAGAGCAGTCAGTGCTCTTAACTGCTGAGCAACCTCTCCAGTCCTGCGGCACATATCTGACTGGCTATACTAACCTTGTTTAACAGAGTTTGCTGAACTACCCCATAAGCAGAAAACTTCCCCCAAGCAGCAGAAGTCATTTACAGTACAGAGGGGAGGGGAAGAATCTGGTTACGGATGACACACGGTGACACTACAAGGGTGCTGCCCGGCCTGCGGTAGCACCCAAGATGAGGAGGCCGTAATGACGCTGTGTGAGCAAGAGACAGCTTTCTCCACGGACAAGCTCCCAAATTAAGCTGTCCAATCCCAGTGGGCAGGCCTGGATATGTGGATTATATATACACGGGCATATACACACACACATACGTATGTGTGTACAAATAACAATAATAATGAGCGATTAAGAACTTGGGATGTGGGACACGGAACAGCTGGGGAGGTGGGAGGAGAAGTGGGGCCGGAGTACTGATACATGAAGTTTACAAAAAGTTTGAGTAGTTCTTATTTTCAGATTTTAATGTGTGCCTTCTTTGGAGGTCAGGCCCAAGTCTATAGCAGAAACTCATTTATGTTTCACATGTTTCACATGCACACAGACCGAAGGTCACTTCACACAACGTTCTGCTGCCCCGCCACACAGACTGTGTGCAGATTGTCCGCCTGTGCCACCGTGCTGCGCCCACCTGGTTTCAGACTTGGGACTCCCAGACAAGGGTGCTCAGCTTGTATATAATCCATTCCACAGGACAAAATTCACCACTGTTGCTGGGTAGTTTTTTTGTTTGTTTGTTTTGTTTTTGTTTTTTTCGAGACAGGGTTTCTCTGTAGCTTTGGAGCCTGTGCTGGAACTAGCTCTTGTAGACCAGGCTGGCTTTGAACTCACATAGATCCGTCTGTCTCTGCCTCCCAAATGCTGAGATTAATGGCGTGCGCCTCCACCGCCCAGTGCTTTGTAGTTTTTATTTTTTATTTTTTTACATTTATTTATTACATAGTGAGAAAAAATTATTTTAGATGTATTTTGTGTGTGGAAATGTTTTGCCAACATGTATGTATGTGGATCCTTGGAAGCAAGAGAAAGATGTCAGATCCCCTGGAACCGAGTTGCAGATGGTTGTGAGCTGCCATGTGGGTGCTGGGACTGAACCTAGGTCCTCTGGGAGAGCAGCCAGCGGTTACCCCGAGCCATCCCACCCTGCCCCACTCTGCAGTTTGACCATTACCGGTTTTGCGCAGTGAAGGTCTCTCTCTGAGGATGAAGTTCACTGTAAACAACCCTGATGAGATCATGCTGACATAATGCCCCTTCTGTCAAAGCCATGGATCCAATTGTTGAGGGCTACAAAAAATAAGGTATAGCATGAGATAATGTCTCCGTAAAAAACTTGTATCATGTAATCGTATTTAATTCTGTTTAAATAAAATGAAGTTTGAAATATTTTTTTTCTATTCAATGACGTTTTATGCTTTATTTTGGAAATTATATAAAGACACAAAATTTGAAATATATCACTCCATTTTTTAAAATATTATGGAGTTACTCTGCATTTAAGAAAAAGAAAAGCTGCTAAAACACTTAGGTTTGAAAGAAATACATTCATATTTGTTTTGTACTCCAGAACACACAATACAACTACTTATACAAAATAAACAGGGAACCCTGCCTGCTCTTTGGACTGGAGAGGGAGAGGGAATGGGAGGGGGAGGGAGGAGGAGGGAAACGGGAGGAGGTAGAAATTTTTAATAAAAAAAATAAAATAAAAAAAAACAGTTTCTAAAAACTTAAAAAAAAACCTCTTTAATATTTATGAAATTGACTTCAATTTTCTCATGTCGGACTTATTGTCACTACTATTCATTTTCTTTCATAACACAATACAAATAACTTAATTAAAATCTACTACTCAGAAACATTATTATTCTATGTTAAAATGAATCTTGGTTGAATAGGAAATATACTATCTCTTTTTTGGTTTTTCAAGACAGGGTTTCTCTGTAGCTTTGGAGCCTGTCCTGGAACTAGCTCTTGTAGACCAGGCTGGCCTCAAACTCACAGAGATCCGCCTGCCTCTGCCTCATGAGTGCTGGGGTTAAAGGCATGCGCCACCACTGCCCGGCTGAGACAAACTATTTCTAACACAATACAAAGTCTCAGGGGAATTAATTTTAAAAATTAATAGCTTCATTGAGTCACAAAATGGAATAATGTGTGTTGAAAATAGAATATGATTTTTTGGATAAACTTTTTAAATGCTCACAATCTGACACACGGCAAATTTGATTCATAACACATTTTCTTATTGGATGTTACTAAAGAAAGCTCAGCTTGACATCAACATTTACCAATATAATCATGCGTGTGCTCACAGTCTTCACGGAATAAACATTAGCAAAACAAATACATTGTCAAAGAGCTAGAATGTGCATTAGATTTCTTTATACTAAAAAAATAACGAAGCATCATCATCCTTCTGAGTAATTACTTTCCTAAAGAAAAATAAGAATAAATCAATCTAACAAAGATCACCAGTAAACAATATGGAAAAAACAATTCTTTGAAAACTCATTTCAAAAACTGATTTAAAAAGATGAAAAAGAGCCGGTGGTGGTGGCGCATGCCTTTAATCCCAGCACTCAGGAGGCAGAGACAGGCGGATCTCTGTGAGTTCTAGGACAGCTAGGGCTGTTTCACAGAGAAACCCTGACTCAGAAAACAAAACAAAACGAAAAGTTGAAAATGACCCTGAGAGGGAAAACACAGGAACAAACAAGAACTAGAGGAGATGTTTCCACTAAGCACTAACTCCCTGGACACAAGTCTGACACCACACAGAGCTACCCTAAAAAATGTGCTCCACGTGGGCAGGAGAGGTGGCCCAGTGGTTAGAGCACTGACTGCTCTTCCAGAGGACCTGGGTTCAATTCCCAGCAACCACAGGGCAGCTCACAACTGTCAGTAATTCCAAGATCTGACACCCTCACACAGACAGACACACAGACAAAACACCAATATACATAAAAGTAAAAATTTACTCCACCAAAATTAGTTAATTAATCTAATGTGAGTGCGCACATACGGAAGACAGAAGGCAAGTTGTGAGTCAGTTCTCTCCTTAAACTGTACAAGTCCAGGGAACAAACTCAGGTGTCAGGTTTGGTGACAAGTCATCTGCCGGCCCCTTACCTGCCTTCCTGCCTCCCTCCTTCCTTTCATTAAATGTGTATGAGCGTTTTGCCTGTGTGTAGGTCTGTGTATCAGATGCATACCTGGTACCCATGGAGGCCAGAAGAGGGTGTCAGAGAACCTGGAACTGGACTTACAGGTGGTTGTGACCTACCATGTGGGTGTTGGGAATTGAATATGGGTCCTCTGGAGGAACAGTCAGTGTTCTTAACCACCGAGCCATCTGAGCTCACAAGCAAAAGGAGAGGACTATGTAATTAGGGACCTGACATGGCGGTGTAAGCATTTTGCTTGGAAGACAGGAGCAGGTTTAAGAGTGTGAGATCATCCCTGACAACCTGGTGGGTTTGGAGCCAGCCTGGGCTACCAAAGATCATATTTCAAAATCAGAGACAAAACAAAAAAGTACTCACAATCTTCACCTCTGAAAAGATAGTCTTTCACCTCCCTCTCAACACCACGTGAACATGCCAGGCCCCAGCACTACTTACCTCGTGGTATATGGAGGGCTTGGACAAGGAGGGGATGGTGAAAGACAGCACTTTATTGTTTCCGTCCTTATCCGCAATTTCCTGCAGCAAATGTGCAAAACAACAGAACATTAAGTCTGTAGCAAAATAAATAACAGTTACTTTCTTAACTAACAGAATAGACTACTGGTAACTGCAGGGGAGTTTTAGAAACAACAGCACATGAAAATAGTATTACCCTATCACACCCTTTCAAATTTATTAGCAAACCAGTATATGTCTGTGGCAGCTGTTACCCACAGAGATATTGAGCACAAATTACACTACATAATATCCAACATGCCAGCAAAGGCAAGAAGCAGGCACATGCAGAACAGGAAGGTTAAAAGTGATTAGATTCTAGAGGGCAAAATACTGATCAGATCTTTTAGTAGAAATATAGGTGATCGAACATAAATAAAACCAAGAGATGCACACTTACTGAAATAACACATTATTATAACATAATAAATTGTTTGCCGGCTTTACTGAGTGATAACTGACAGAATTTACATATATTTCTAGTGCATGTGAAGTTTTGATACATTTACATTGTGAATGATTACAATGTACATTGTTTATGATTGCCATAGGCAAACTTATTCAAATATCAGTACAGCAGTTACCATTTTCATGGTGAAAACATCTTAAGAATGAATACTGATTAAAAGAAATTTATAGTAACTCAGAATAAACTACCAAACTGTAATGAGTTCCATGTTGACAATATTAGTATAAATGGTTAAGAAATAAGACTTATATTTAGATAATTTCTACTGAATTGTGCAAATTCTTTTGCGTTCTTGTTTGAGACAAGGTTTCACTCAGTAGCCTAGGGTGCCCTGGAACACACAGACTTCAAGTCTGCACCTCAGTTTACTGCGTAGTGCGGTCAGAAATATGAGCCGCTGTACCTGCCCCCTCCCCAAAGGGCCTCACTGTACTACAGCAGCCTGACTTGGTTCGGAGTTCAGGCTGGCCTGGAACTCAGAAGCTCGCCTTCGACTCCCAAGCTGGGATTAAGGTATGAGTCACCACGTCCGTTCTTTTCTGTGATTTTAAAAGTTTTTCCAGACTGGGTTTCTCTGGGTAGCCCTAGCTGTCCTGGAACTCGCTCTGTAGACCACGCTGACCTCGAACTCACTGAGATCTGTCTGCCTCTGCTTCCAAAGAGCTAGGATAAAAGGATCACCACCACCTGGACTTTTTTTATTTTTATTTATTTATTTATTTTAAATAAGAAACACTTGTAGCCAGGCAAGTTCCAGGACAGTCAGGTTAGACAGAAAGCAGTCTGGAAACAAACAGATGCTCTTCCCTGCTAGTCCTCAGGCGTCAGTCCTTCCCTCCAGACACCAGCAGGGGGAGCTGCTGCTGCATCTCACCCCTCTGCCTTGTCTGCTCTAAGTAATACGCAGCTGGCATGGAACCCACACAGACGCCACCACTGGACCCCACGGTAGAGGACAATCTAAGTCAGAGAACAGACAGACATGGTGCTGCAAACCTGTAGCCTGGGGCTTGGGCTCACCAGAAGCTAACAGGTCAGAGTCAGATACAAAACCTTGAAGCCAGACTAGAATACTTGAGATCCTGTCTCCAAAAACAGACACTTTTAAGTTTTTGAGGTCCCATTTAAAAACAGATCTACGACAAGATTTAGCCATACCACTCTTGGGAGACACCTGCTCACCCATGCTCACTGCTGCTCTATTCATAATATTCATTAATTACAAACAGCCTAGATGTCAATTGACTACGGAATGGATAATGAAATCAGGATATCTACCCAATGGGTTATTATTCAACTGTTAAGAAAAATGAAATTATGAAATCTTCACCACCACTACATCCAACTTCTTAGTATGTAATAAAATTCGCAAAACTTTCATCTGCCTTCCCTGTGAATGCCTATTAAAGAAATCTGAACTCTTTCACATTAAAAAATATTTTCTGGCTGGATGTGGTAGCACACACTTTTAATCCCAGCACTCGGGAGCAAGAAGTCTCTGTGAGTTCACGGCCAGTCGCATCTGCATACTGAGCTCCAGGCTGGCTAGGGTTACACGAGGAGACAGAAAAGGTTTCCAGCTGGCACAGTGGTACTTGTCTGCAATCCCAGCCTTTAGGAGGCTGAGGCAAAAATAAGCCTAAGATCAAGTGAAGAGTTCAAGGCCAGTCTGTACTACACACTGCACCTGAAACTCACCCAAGCTACACGGGGAGAAACAGAAACAAAAGCCCAACAGCTTGTGTGTTCTGTGCTTTCCATCTGCATGGACACAACTGGATTTCCCTTAGTTACGCTCATCTGGTCACTGTGCTGGCTACTGTTAAGTCATTTGGGAAGAAGTCCCCATCAGACTGGCCAGTGAGAAAACACTTGGGGTGTTTTCTTGACCAGTGACTGATGTGGGAGCGCCAGTCCAGCCCTTCCTAGGTGATTCACCCTTGGGCAGTGGTCCTCACACAGTACGGAAGCAGGCTGAGTGAGCCCTGAGGAGCAAACCAGTAAGCAGCATGCTCCACGGCTGCTTCTTCAGTTCCAGCCTCCAGCTTCCTGCCCTGACAGCTCTGGATGACGGACTACAAGACGCTGTAAGGTGAAACAGACCCTCTCCTCCTCAGCACAGCAACAGAAACCCTGACTAAGACAATTCCATCTTTCCTAAGGAAAGCTGTAGTAACTTTAGCCAATACTTTAATTTCTCATATTCTTTTCTATACCAACTCTGCACTGCCAGCCACCTATGACCACGTCTTCTCGTAGAGAAGTTTCCCTAAAGCAGGTAGCTCATTTCAGTATTCAACTTGATCCTTAGAAAAAGGTATTCATAAACACTGGTCCAAAAAATGCTTTGAAGTAAATCATCTGATCTAACAATGTTATCAATTATAACTTCATCAAATTTATAAAAAAACATTTCTAACAAATGTTTATTATATTCAACACAAAAATTATCCAACAGACATTTCAATTTGTTTTTCTCTAAACAATCTTCAAATATTTCAGAAGATTTCAACAATATTTCAAATTTCCTAAATGACTACTTTCCACTCACCAGATTGTAAATCCCCAGGAGAAGAGCTTCAATGCAGCCGTTACTCTGCCTCTCTCTGCTGACTGTAAGGCGCAAATAAACCCACATCAGCTCCGGCAGGAACTGCAGTGTGAACCTCTTGAGCCGGACCTCGGAGCTACGATAGAGCTCAAACAGCTGGTGGCAGACCGGCTCCAGGAGCTAAAGGGAAACAGAGAAGCATTATTTCCATGGTTTGAGCTGTAACTATGTTTCTAAAAAAGCCAAATGTACCTTTATAGTATTTAAAAAATAAATTCTTCTTAAAATTAATTCCTCCAGGTATGAGCTAATTCAAAAAGGTCTTAATAGACTACATATTAAACTGGCCAAACTTCAAACTAATTACTTTAGTACCAAATAATATCACTGTACTTTTGATGTAGTAGGCTACTAAATTTATTAGATAGTCTGTTTGCCACATATTTACTTTTGCTGAGTTCCACTGTCTGCTCTGACTGAGCCCTTCTAGCCTATATTTTCTGATTTTTACACTTATGTATGTAAGCATGTATGAGTGGTGCACTGCAATGCCACGGCACACGTATGGAGAACAACTCTGTGGGTCCAGTTCTTGCCTCCCGCCACGTGAGTTCTAGGATCCACCTCAGCTGTGGCAAGGGTTTCATCGAGAGTCATCTCACTGGCTCATCTTCCATTTTAAGAAATTTCTTCTTAACTAAAATAGCTTCAAATTTTAAGTAAAGCCATGACTTAGATTATATATCACTTATTAGATGAGATTTTATAAACACATGATATGGGCATCTAAAATTCTGGCTGATATATTTTAAATACACACGGGAAAGAAGAAAAGACTTAAGACCTCACTAATCACACCTATGGGCAAAGGTCCTGCTGCACAGCGCGAGGACAGAGTTCAGGTGCCCAGCGCTGAGATGAAAACTGAAGCCAGCATGGCATGCGGGGCAGGCAGATTCCCCAGGGCTTACGGGCCACACAGCCCAGCTATGACAGCAAGTTCTACATTCAGTGAAAGGCCCTATCTCAGGAGATGGGAGAGTGCTAGATGCCAGTGCTCACACACACTCACGCACACGCACACACACACACGCACGCACACATGCACGCACACACACATGTACACATACACACACATACGCATGCACACATACACACCCACGCACGCACGCACACATGCACACCCACACACATGCACGCACACTCACACACACATTCACACGCACACATACACGCACACTCACGCACACACACACACACGTACACTCACACATACACACAATTCTGAAAGGGAACAAGTACATATATAAATATGCTTTTCAATGCTTACTTGGCTAATTATTCTTATATTGCTACATGAAATGAGAGACCTCAAGATGATAAAAACTAAATAAAATGAGCAATTCCACTCACTGCCAATTTAAAATGGTTCTACTCCTGCTAACCACAGACTGTATATACCTGACTGACTTTCAACTACATATTAAAGACTGAGTAGAAACTATTTTTTTTTTTAAGTTCTTCAAGACAGGGTTTCACTGTGTGGCCCTGGCTATCCTGGAACTCACTTTGTCGACCAGGCTGATCTCAAACTTTCAGCGATCCGCCTACCTCTGCCTCCCAAGTGCTGGGATTATGCAGAAGATGATGTCAAAGAAAATATAAAATGAACAGATTTAATGCAATGCCCATCAAAATCCCAGCAAAATTCTTCAAAGACCTCAAAAGAACTGTACTCAACTTCATATGGAAGAGCAAAAATCCCAGGATAGCCAAACAATCCTGTACAATAAAAGAACTTCTGGAGGCATCACAATCCCTGACTTCAAACTCTACCACAGAGCTACAGTACTGAAAACAGCCTGGTATTGGCATAAGAACAGACAGGAGGACCAATGGAACCGAATAGAAGACCTGGATATCAATCCACACATCTTCGAACACCTGATTTTTGACAAAAAAGCAAAAAATATCAAATGGAAAAAAGAAAGCATATTTAACAAGTGGTGCTGGCATAACTGGATATCAACATGTAGAAGAATGAAAATAGACTCATATCTATCACCATGCACAAAACTCAGGTCCAAATGTATCAAAGACCTCAACATCAAGCCAGCCACACCAAACCTTATAGAAGAGAAAGTGGGAAGTACACTCGAACGCATTGGCACTGGAGACCACTTCCTAAATATAATCCCAGCAGCACAGACACTGAGAGAAATAAAATTAATAAATGAGACCTCCTGAAACTGAAAAGCTTCTGTGAAGCAAAGGACATGGTCAACAAGACAAAACGACAGCCTACAGAATGGGAAAAGATTTTTACTAACCCCACATCAGAAAGAGGTCTGATCTCCAAAATATACAAAGAACTCAAGAAATTGGTCACCAAAAAGAACACATAATCCAATAAAAAAAATGGAGTACAGACCTAAACAGAGAACTCTCAATAGAGGAATCTAAAATGGCTGAAAAACACTTAAGGAAATGTTCTACATCCTTAGTCATCAGAGAAATGCAAATCAAAACAACTCTGAGATTCTATCTTATACCTGTAAGAATGTCCAAGATCAAAAACACTGATGACAACTTATGCTGGAGAGGTTGTGGGGTAAAGGGAACACTTCTGCATTGCTGGTAGGAAAGGTACAACCCCTTTGGATGTCAGTTTGGTGATTTCTCAGAAAATTAGGAAACAACCTTCCTCAAGACCCAGTAATGCCATTTTTGGGTATATATCCAAAGGATGCCCAATCGTGCCCCAAGGACATGTGCTCAACTATGTTCATAGCAGCATTGTTTGTCATAACCAGAACCTGGAAACAACCTAAATGTCCCTCAACTGAAGAATGGATAAGGAAGATGTGGTATATTTACACAATGGAGTACTACACAGCAGAAAAAAATAACATCTTGAATTTCGCAGGAAAATGGATGGAGCTAGACAACATTATTTTGAGTGAGGTAACCCAGATCCAGAAAGACAATTATCACATGCACTCACTCATAGGTGGTTTTTAAACATAAAGCAAAGAAAGCCAGCCTACAAACCACAATCCCAGAAAACTTAGACAACAATGAGGACACTAAGAGAGACTTACATAGATCTAATCTACATGGGATGTAGAAAGTAGAAAAAGACAAGATCTCCTGAGTAAATTGGGATCATGGGGACTTTGGAGGAGGGTTGAAGGGGAGAGGAGGGCAGAGAAAAAATGTAAAGCTCAATAAAAATCAATTAAAAAGAAGAAAAAAGATTGTTAGTCCCCCCCCCCCAAAATATAAAATGAACAGAGGGGACTTAATAGAGTGGAGGACTCAAAATCAAAGAACCACTTGGGTGGCTGCGGGGAGGGGTGGGGTGGGGGTTGGTCCTGTTAAAATGAGAAAGAAAAAGCAGTATTGTTGGTGTAGAGGTTAAAAGTTAAGTTATAATGGCCGGGCGGTGGTGGTGCACACCTTTAATCCCAGCACTCGGGAGGCAGAGGCAGGTGAATCTCTGAGTTTGAGGCCAGCCTGGTTTATAAGAGCTAGTTCCAGGACAGACTCCAAAGCTACAGAGAAACCCTGTCCCGAAAAACAAACAAAACAAAACAAACAAATAAAAGTTAAGTTATAACATAGGTAGTCACAATGTGCAAAATTAAACTCTAAAAATTCATATCAATGACTTTTATGTCTTTAAAGCAACATTGTTTTTAAGACTGTCCTAAGTTAAGTTCATATTAAATAGAGCATGGCCATTTTCTGAAATAACATTTGGTAGCACATCTGACGATGCTTCAGAATAGAAGAAGATCGGGACCTAAGATGTACCTGTCCATGACTACTGCGCACAACTGTTACGAGGTTCTACAGAATTTATTACTCTCGGTTTTCAAACGTCTGAATTAAAACCTTCTAATTTGGCAATAAGTAAGATGGAATCCAGACCTGCCCCTGCAACTTCATAATGACAAAGAATGCCAAGTCTTCAGCCTTGATTTCTCCAGCTGATGTTTCCATTTTGAACCATGACTTTGCCTCATGTGTTATTATAAAGCACAATAATACACAGTAGTCTGAATAATTTAAAAAATGTCTTATCTTAAAAGTTTTTTTTAAAAATGAGGACACTTTTCATTATCTCTGAGCACTGAATCTAAAGATTTAGTACTGGAATCATTTTGCATTTAGTTGTTTTCTGATCAATATTTACTTTTTTATTTGCACTTAACCCCTGAACCACATCCCAAGCACACATTTACTACATATTCATTACATACATGATAAATAGTTTATACAACCACTGCCCATGAAGAGCTTACAATCTAAAGAGAAATGCATAAAACAAATAATTTTTAATAAGCAAAGCTTAAATGTTAGGCAGTGCAAGGTGAGGGGCAGGGCACACACATCATTATTTAGACAACTTCAAACACTCCTGACTCAAGATGTGTGTGCACGAGTGTGTATCCACCTACGCACTGACACACACAGCCCACGTCTGAAGTTTTAACATCAGCAATACACCGCAGGAGAAGAAGCAGCAAATGAATCTTGCAGCTGCTGCTAGAAACACAGCAGATGCAAGTCTGAGAGCCAATCCAAACACAGGAGACGGGAAGGAGGAGGTCAATAAGCAAGCTTTTAGTGAGAAGACAAAATGAAGATGCACTCTCAGTTAGGCTGCTGGTTAGGAGCCGGTTACCTGACGGTTACGTCTTCCGCTCGCTGCAGTGCACAGCGGAGGCGCTCTGGGAGGCGTATCTGGGAAGATAAGAAGCCACTGTCCTGTGTGCGCCTTCCATCTCCATGTTAAAGCATACATGAATCCAGGGGATAAAACTGTCTGTCACACAGCTGTGGTAATGCATCTGGCCTACGCTAACAGATAGATCCAGCTGCTGAGCTTCCTATCGCCTACCAGAGTGAGAAACAGTGAACTGTTATTCTAAGTTATTGATCTTCACAATTTAGGTCTCTAAAAGCACCTTCTCTGATAACTTTCAGGTAAGCTTTATAAACAGCATAACTTTGTGTTATCAGTTTACAACTGATCAGAATGCTTATAAATATCTCTATGGTATTAAGAAATTAAGAGTAAATGATATTAAAATAAAGAATGCTGAATCAGTATACCGTTAAAATTTGTTTTCCAGAGAAGGAACACTCCAGAACACACACAAAAAAAACCTATACATTAAATAAACAATCCGTTGAGATGAGGGTGAGTGCAGCTGAGAACCAAAGCACACCATCTCCAATCAGGAAAAGAGACCAAGACATCTTCAAATGTAAGAAGATGGGGTGGGGAAAGCCAGAGCAACTACCAGAGGGAAGCGAGAGCGGCTTTCCAGACCCACAGGGAGAGAGAAACCAGACACAAACTTCATCTTACTATTTGGAATTTGCTTTTTCAAAAGCTTCCTACCTCATTGTTCGAATCTTGAATGACTTTATAGAGTGCTGGTACAAGGGTTTTTTTCCGGTGTAAAGTTGCTGCGTAATTGGTGATCTGAGTGTCAGGTAATGCCTAAGATAAAACCAAAGAACAGAAAAATGGATTTAACATTTAGGAAACACATTTCTTTTATATGGGTGCTACTTGAGTAAAAGAAGTGTCAAATAAGAAAATTTAAAGTAATTACTATAATTAATATCAAGTAATTAACATACAAATAACTGTTTAGCCACAAAACGATTACAAGTCACATATCCTCTCTCACTGTAACGCAGTGGAGCCTGAAGGAGACCAGGGCTCACTTCACTTCCGCCCTTGCGCTCCTGCTTCTACAGAGCACGTTTCCTAAGTCTGCATTACAGAGCTTTCTACCAAAACTAAGTCACAGGAAATCAGAGCAGAAAACAAACAGTAGCATTAAAACTTGAAGACTTCAGTCATCTACCGGATATATTTTAATCACAACTATTTTTATTTCTACATAATTCTTTTGGCCTTATTCATATTAGTTATACTCAGAAGGAGCACAGTTAAAAAGCACAATTCCACACTTTGTAACTTCCACTAGGAAGCACATTTGCGGTACCCTGACGGGCGGATCAGCACCATTAAACCTCGACAAGGTAACCCTGGACACAGCACCTTGAACTCCGACAGCCACTCTTCCACCACAGCTCGCTCGGACCCCAGCATCTTCCTCTAGTCTTCTGTTATCTGCAATGTAAGACAGTGTCACCTGCAGAGATTACCCAAGGTCTGTAATGCATGCATCTCACTAACCAAGACACTCAGCTCTATTTCAGAGAGAGGCTTCTACTCGGTTTGGAGTGCAATTAAAATTTTTCAAAAATAAACCCTATTTTTAAATGATATAACAGAACCATTGTCTCCATGCTTTCCTGTTCTCCACACTTCAAAATGGCAAAGGTGTTCTTAAACTGGATACGTCCACAATCTCGGTACTGAGGAGGCTGAAGCAGGAGGATTGCAAAGTGGAGGTCAGCTCGGGCTATGCGATGAGTTCTGAACAAGCCTGAGCTACAGTGAAAAACGCTGTATCAACAAAGCAAACAACTGAAAACTGCAGTGGCCAAGTGAAATCCAATTACACCATGGAAGACAAACAAGCAAACAAACAAACACGGTTACACACGACAGAACCAACCTCGTAACAAAATATAAATATTAAGTCTAGAAAGAGCAGGGTTGGAGAGGTGGCTCAGCGGCTGAGAGCACTGCTCTTCCAAAGGACCCAAGTTCAATTTCCAGCAACCACGTGGTGGCTCACAACCATCTGTAATGAGGTCTGGCGCCCCCTTATGGCCTGCAGGCATACATGCAGACAGAGCACCGCACACATAATTGGTGTAGGAGGGTCTTCTTTCTATGTGTTGCTTTCATTGGTTGAATAAAGAAAACTGCCTTGGCCTTTTGATAGGGCAAAACTTAGATAGGCGGAGTAGACAGAACAGAATGCTTGGAGAAAGGAGGCAGGCTGAAAGCCACCCGCCATGAAGCTACCAGGTCAGACATGCTGAATCTTTCCTGGAAAGCCATGAGCTCACGGTGACATACAGATTATTAGAAATGGGTTGAATCAAGATGTGAGAGTTAGCCAATTAGAGGCTAGAACTAATGGGCCAGGAAGTGTTTAAATGAATACAGTTTCTGTGTAATTATTTCGGGGCTATCCCGGCTACTCTCCTAAATACGAGATTTCTGTTTTAAGATTCCACAAGGACCTTGGAATGTGTGTACAATGGAGCACTGCATCAAGTGCTGAAATAAAGACCAGGAGAAAAGGAAAAGAGTTGCCATGGTCACAGTGTCTCTTCTTAGAAATAACACCCTAACTAAGACATTGGGTGCTAAAGACATTGAGTGTAACGTGTTTTGTGTTGTCAGCTTGATTCATACAGGAGGGAACTTCAACTGAAGAAAAGCTTCTGACAAAGTGGTCTGAGGGCTGTTGTCTGTGGGGCATTTTCTTGACTGTTAACTGGTGGAGGAGATTTCAGACCCCTCTCAAACCATGTTTCGATACTGACACATAAAAGGGGGCAGAGGAAAGCAGAAGAGTAAATCAGATGCAAATATTTAAACATATATACATGTGATGTGTCTGTGTATGGGCTATGTTCATGTACGCATATGTACCCTAGGAGGTCAAGAAAGGGCATCAGATCCTGGAACTGGAATTACAGGTGGCTGTGAGCACCAGATGTGGGAGCCAGGAACCAACTCAGGTCTCCTGCAAGAACAGTGTGCACACTTAACCATGGATTCATCTCTCCAGCCCCTTGCACTAAATATAAATATGACTGACCTTAAGTTGATAGCCATTTTGCTTGGTAAACAGTATACAAAGTTCATTATATTATTCTACCTACTTTGTTACAACTTGGAATTTCTTATAATGAATAAAAACTAAAATATTGATAAATGGAAGCTACAAATATACAATTCTGATATAAGAGATAGAAAACAAGGTTCTTACATTTATTTACTTACTTATTTTTGTGGGTGGGGCTATGGATTGTAAATTCAGAGATTGTTCTGAGATCTAAGCAAAACTACAAATCCCTGCTTCAGGAAAAAGGAACTAGGGCTCGGGACGCAGCTCCATTGCTAAAGTGTTTGATTCAGCACAGCATGGTAAGAGACATGCCAACACAGAGGAATGGCTGAGAGAGAGTTCTGGCCTATACAACGTATATGTTTGGAAGAGCTACTTCTCTGTCACCTCAAACTCCTTGTCTGAGGACAATGGAAGTATCTATGATAAAAGGTTTTTAAGCTTTTGTTTATTTGTTTTTGAGATGCGGTCTCCACTGTGAAACCTAGTTGGCCTGACAGAGTGCTGACTAGGTTAACCTTGAATCAGAAACCCTACTGCTCTTACTTCTCCAGTGCTGGGAGCAAAGGCATGTGGCCACTACACCCAATTGTCAAGAGATTTACTTTTATTTTTAACATAATAAATAACACAAAGGTCTTAGAACAGTGATTGGCACATATCCTTATGTCAGCTGTTACAATTATTTATTGACAACTCAAGAAGCACTTTTATTCTGTGCATAATAATTATTAATTACCTATTATTAGAAATATTGTTGAATAAAATGCTAAGGATTAAAGAAAAATAAGAAATCTCAAGAGTTTCAAGAGAATCAAAATCATAGATAAACAAAGCTACAGAATTACCAGTGCAACATATGAGACAGTAATAAATGTTACTGCAAATTCTTAAACTTGGTTAAAAAAATTGGAGCCAGGCATAGTGGTGCATACCTTTAATCACAGTACTCAATAGGGAGAGGTAGGCAGCTCTCTGAGGTGAAGGCCAGCCTGGTCTACAGAGACAGTTCCAGGATAGGCAGGCTACACAGAGAAATCCTGTCCTGAACCCTCCCAAACTCTTCCCCAAAATTGGAAATTATGAAGACATTATAATTTGTATGTCTAAAACTTAGATTAAGGCAGATGTTATTGAAAAGACTAAATTCCATAAGTCCAAAACTCAAAACTGTATTATATGATATAGTAGCTCTAAGCTGAAAATGGCTATTTAAATTAACTCAAAATTTATTTTCCTACTTTCCAGGAAAGACAGAAATTAGACCTATTCTGTGTTACAGTAAAATGTGGGCTCAGGGGACTAGAGAGATGGCTTAGAAGCCACACGACCACACCCCGCTCTGGCAGAAGTCACATGAGCCCCCCACCCCCACCCCGGTAGAAGCCACACGAGCACCCCGCTCTGGCAGAAGACTTGAGTTTCGTTTCTAGCACCCGTCTGTGTCAAGTGGCTCATAACCACCTCTAACTCTAGCTCTAGAGGATCTGCTGCCTGTGGCCTCCTCAGGAACCTGCAGTACACAATTGAAAAGAATCTTCTTTTAAAGGTAGGTCTAGTTATTTTATGAAGACAGCTGAGACCAATTATCCTCCAGAATGACCTTTATTCAGAGAGAATGTCTCATGACCACAGATCTCATGACCAGTCCTTAACGTCAGGGGTAATTAGGAGCTGGAGCATCAGCGACAAATGGCAGGGTCTTGGAGGAGAGGGAGGCTTCCTTTCAAAAACTGGGGGAATGCCAGAGAGGTTGTACGGCAAAGTGGGTAAAAGCATTTGCTGCCGAGCCTGAAGACCTGAGTTCAATCTTCAAAACCCACACGGTCGAAGGAAGAGAACTGACTCCCGAAGGCTGTGTTATGACTGTCACATAAGTACATAATGTGCACCACACCCCCGGCCAGAAAATGAATTAATCTATATTTTTAAAAGACATGGAAAAGAGCTTCATTAAGAAAGACAGTTTAGAGTAAAACAGTTGAGAGATGGTAAATGTGGGGTGGTGATGTGGAACTCCCCTCTGTATGTTGTGAATAGCATTGGTTAATAAAGGACTGTCTTCAGCCTGTGATAGGACAGAATAGAGGCAGGTGGGGAAAACTACACTGAATGCTGGGAGAAAGAAGGTGGAGTCAGGAGATGCCATGTAACCACTGCTGGGAATGAACAAGCCAGAAACCATGCCGGTAAACCACAACCATGTGGCAATACAGAGATTAACAGAAAGGGTTAAATTAAGATGTAAAAGATAGCCAGTAAGAAGCCAGAAGTAATAGGCCAAGCAGTAATTTACTCAATACTGGTTCTGTGTGGTTATTTCGGGGCTGAGCAGCTGGGAACAAACAAGCGGCCTTCCTACAACAGGGTAGGTTGGGGTGGGGTGTGGATGTGTAGGGGAGCTGAAGGAGAAACACAGCCTTCAGACAAATGCCCTGAACAACAGAGATTTCCTGACCTTTCTAGGGTTTTCAGGGATGATCAGAAGTTTTAGTATGATTTAGTCTGACATAGCCTATGTGCTAATGGTTGGGTACTGGGTGAATTTTCCTTGTAGCTTCAAGGGGGAGGGTGGGCTTCCTTTATCTCCTCCTCTGTTCCCCAAATCTGTGTGCTTTAGACTTCATAGCAGGAGCCTGTCAGCTGCAAGGGGCCAAGGCCTAAGAGACAGTGTGTGTGTGTGGTGGTGGGGGGTCAGTTAGAGGGTCTGTGATCTGACAGAATGTACCTTGGACAGGTTCACTGTCTTTACTGATGACTTCACGTCATAAGGCAACCTGTTGTGTACTCCATAAAAACAGTATTTTCTGTGATGCTAGAGAACCTACTGTTGGTTATCCTGCCCTCCTCATGTGGATTCATTCAGATACAGAACTGCAACCATCCCAGCCAGGCTCACTAGTCCTCACAGGGGAGGGAGACAGTAAAGGAATGCACACACAGCCACAGCACCCACTCCCGAGTCTGCAGCACGTGACTGCTAGGCTCTGGGTCTGGCTCAGACTCCAGGCAGCACAAGCTCCATCTTTCCGCATCTTCTTCCTTGTCCCTATTCTGAACATTGTCAATGTGGGGCTTACCCTGCAGCATTCCTGAATTCCAACCGTCTTCCCGGGTAGATTCAACCACACGGTCCTGCTCATTCCCTGTTCTTTTCCTGACCTGACTAGGCGTGAGTTTTCTATAAAAACAGTGGAATTGTTGAGATGTGTGCAGGATCTTGGATTAAAGCAAGCAGATTTGGGAATGAGTATTTATTTGGGTTCTCTCTTCTCTTCCGGTCTCCTCTCTATCTAGCTAAAAATGACCTTTGAACTCTGAATCCTCCCAAGGGGGATTACAGGCAAACAAAACAACACCGGCATTGATTGTATGTATTTTGCACATCACTAATAAACATTAGAAAGGCAGAGCACTTGCTCCAGCCACAGGTAATA